TCCAGCACACAGCTGTCCTGGGGGTCCTGGTGTGGGGGAGCAGGATAAACTGCAAAGCTGTCTCCAGGGACAGGGCAGGAAGCTGCAGGGTGCAAAAGTTGCTTGCGCCCCTCTCCTTCTGCATTAACTAAAGGACTGAAGAAGGTTGGAGGCCGTGGAGAGCATGCAGGGTGGGTGAATTCTTTAAGAGAATTCTTCCTGGTGGGACTGTAAAGATATCTGAGATAGGCATGTGGGAGAATCCCCTAATTCCTTTCCACTGTCTAAATCTACCAAAGTTCAAGTAAATACAGGATGCTTCTAATGGTTTTAAAGATACCTTTTGGAAAATAAATGTGGAGCACTCTCTGTTGACTCTGGCTTTATCCCTGTGGTCAAGATGAAAGTTGGCCTCTGATACATAAAAACAAAGCACAAGCCTTTAATTTGTGCCGATTCCTTGGTTCTATAATTCTGTTCCTCTGGACTTCTGACTACGGGTGTGATTTATGATGATAAAGAGCTCTTGGTTTACTCTTTGAACTGAGAATAAGTCGTAAGTCTAGCTTGGGCCTTAGTTTGTGAGGATGAGGGACAGAGGCTTCTGCTTTGTTTGTAAACCTCTCACATTCCCTCTGCACTTCAAAGCCAGCTTGGTCTCTGCATAGTCTTGGTAGAGATGCTTCAGATCCTTAATTAAATTCTGGAGCAGGAGGTGGGCAGCAGAGCCCTGGGACCCTCTGTACTGCAGGGCCTCCTTGGAGTGGCTCCTGCTCCAGCTTTCATCTGCAGTCGGCACTGGGCACTCGGGTCATGTGTGAGGGACGTCCCTTTTCCATGACAGTCACACACTGCTTCTCTGAGTGCTGCGCAGCAGTGGCTTTGGGCGTTGGCTGGAGGGTGCTCTTGGCCAGGCTGAGCACACAGAGCTGACCTCCGTGCTGCTCCATCCCAGACTCCGAGCCTTCCATTCTTCTTCCCAACCTGCTGTTCACATCCGAGCTCCCCCATGCTCACCTTTTCTTGCACAGAGAGGTCGGACTATGCCACAGGTCTCTGGAAGCCACTCACAGTCTGCTTGGGACCCCAGAGCAATACCAGAATAAAGCTCTCTGGGAGCTGCTAGGGAAGCTTTAGGAGTCACCATTAATCAGAAAAGTGTGACAAATGCTGCAGGGCATAAAAACAGAGAGAAGGTGACAGGTAATAAAATGCAGTGAGCTGGGCTCTCACCATCCCAGTGAGAAATCAGGGGCTGAGGCCCAGTCTGAGAAGATTCCAGGGCCGCCTCTGGGAGATGACAGAGACACAGGGGCAAGAAGAGGAGCTTTTTTCACAACTGATGACCCTGGAGTTGTAAGACTCAGACACTGAGAAGGAGAAAACTATGGTCTTCAAGAAGAAGCAGTCGAACTGACACTTGGCAGACAGAATAGAGATGCAGGGCTGGTCTTAGCTGTGCAAAGATGATTCTGACTCAGTGGGAACTGACCCGGAGGTGACATATGCATTCTGGGCAGTCCCAGGATCCTTCTCGAAGTGGCGGCCAGGTAAACGTCACTGGGTTCTGGGCTACTCAGTCCTCCTTCTGGAGATGGATTCCTGGTTCTCTCCAACAAAGAACTGAATGAAATGAGCAGAGCAGTGGCAAAATCTATTGGCAAAACAAAAATTAAGAGTGAGAGAAAAACTAGCTCTGAGAGTGATTTTAGGCCAAATAAAAGAGGAAAAAGCAAAATAAAAGAACACCTGGGGAAAGCAGGGCAGGCCATCGTGAGGACGGCCACGATCACGAGCCCTTCTTGGCAGCTGCGTCCTTTATGCTGTCCAAACCTCAAGGAAACTTGAGAGAACTTCCTCACGTCCGATCCAGAGAGGTGGTGCTAAGGTCCCAGGACTCAGGCTCAGATCCTGAGTCCTCAGATCCTCAGGTCCTGGGTCAGATCTCACCCTGCCTGTGCATGGGATCCTGTAATTAATAGGTCACACCCACCTCTCCAGCCTGCTTTGCCTTGCCCTGATCTCCATCAGTCTCATCCACTATGTCTCTGTGGAGGTAAAGGAACGTGCAGAAAGCTGTTCCTTAGACCCCGAGCTCACCTTAACCTCACATGCCAACGTCTTAATCCGCACCGACACAGAAATGATCAGGAGACAGAGGCAGAGGCCGGAGTGGTGCTGCCACTCCCCTGGCTGTGGCCACCCCAGCCTGCAGGATGAAGACAGGGCCTCCTCTGGGCCTTCAGAGAAGTGGCCCTGCCAACACTTCTGCTCCAGGCTGCAGGACACCAGCATAAAACAGTCAGCACCTGCTGATGAAGCCACCAGCTGTGGCGGTTTGATGTAGCGGCACATGAAAGCCAGTGTGAGTCTCGAAACTCTGCTGTGCGCCTTTTCAGTCAGTTCTCAGCTCCCGAAGGCAGGGAGTGGCCTCACTTCTGTTCCCATGGATCATCTTGACCTGTCCTTGGCCCTGAGGTGATGGCGAGCCTTTTACAGCTGTCACGGAGAGTCAGCCCACTGTGACACTCGAGCATGGGTTCCCCACGCTGAGGCAGTGTTCAGACTCTTTTAGTCAACGTGACATATGTGTATCTCATTCATGTTGTGCAGCTGCATTTTGATCCTTTTTATCGAGTTAAATTCATAGCACAAATATCCAACTTCCGACCCATTCATAGACGTTTAGGTTTTTTTTCCTGCCCACATTTTTACATTTATTGCACCTGTCTGTAGCTGTCCTTGGTGTAGAAGTTCTGTGACCTGTTACTGCTCTTGTAGTCATTACCTTACAGTCCTAGTGAGTATGTGTTACTTAGAAATTCAATTTCTACTGGCCTTCCTTTTAATAATAGAGAAACTCTGAATGCCTTAGTTCTGGCTTGTCCTTACATCTTCCATGTTATTGCAGTCAGATTTAAATATTTATTTTCAAACTTTCAAAGTTAATCACTGTTTTACAATCCACACTGTCACAGCTGTGCCAGCACTGTTCCCCGCCGACCCTTCCTCTGGCACTGTTTGATTATTTTCTCTGGTCCACAAGGTGTTAGTACTTTTGGTGGATGCTTGTGTGTGTTGGAAGGGAGGAGTTTGGGAGAAAATGCATGCCTCGTTTTTATATTTGTTTATTTTATTTATTTTAAAGGGAATAAAGTAGAACAGTAAAACAAAACAGAAGTGATAGGACAGTAGGAAATCCACAGATGCCATCTTCCAAACAATTGCCCATACCGCTGGCCCGAGACCTGTAAAGCCGATCAAATGGCAAAATGACGAGGTGCAGTTATTAGCATCCCAGCCTGTGTTGTATCCAGTTGCTCTCGGGTGGAGCGGGGAGCATAGGAGGCGGAGACAGCTGGCTTGCTGTTTTTCCCAGTGGCCGCCTTCCCCTGGTTTTTATTTTAAATGAAAATATTTTGGCCCCATTCTTAAACTTAAAATGAAGATACTCATGGAGTTTTGGGTTGACAATTGTTTTCCTCCTCATTGTGAATACAGTATCCCTCTAACACAGTTCTGATTAGACACCGGTGCCAGTCACGTCCGTGTTCCCGGTAGGTAATCTGCTATTCTTCCATGGCTTGGAGCTCTTTTTAGTATAAATGTGCTGTGTTCTGCGTAAAAAGACCTCTGTCTGCGCAGTCCGCCCAGGGCCAGCAGTTTCCCATCGAAGGCTGCGTGGTTTTGCTTCTGGAAAGTGCTGGGCTGCAGCCCTCGGTGTGCGTGCTCAGATCCCGAGTCTCTCCTGCGAGGTGTGTGGTGACCGTGTCCTGGCGCTTTCGTTTTGTCCCACATGCTTCCTTTTTATCTTGCTTTGAAGCTGAAGTTCTTTACACACGTTTCTTGGTTGCGTCACTTTCTCCTACTTTACCGTTGAATTTGTCTGTAGAGTTTTCTCACTTTGGAGTGCTTCACTTTAATTTGCACACCAACTCTTCCCGCGTGGTCTGAGTCCGTCTTCTGCTTGTCACGTGTGCCACGGATGCCCAGTGGAGGCACTCTGGGCAGTCCCGTCACTTTCCCGAACTGGGCAGGCGCCTGTGGAAGTCTGCCTGTCATGTGACCTGTGCATGTGATGACCGTGTGGTTTTCCTTGGAAGTCCCGCGTCTCGGGGTCACAGCAGCGAGGTCTTGCGTGTTGTTTTCTTTGTAGGTTTTCCTGAATTTGGGCAAGATTGATGTTCACAGCAGCAGCTTGGACTTGGCTCTCAGGCCCTGGTCTTCTCTCTCCTTGGCTCATTCTCCAGTGTCCCAACCTGGTCGCAGTATTTTTCTCTGGGTGTTGGGGTGGGTCTTCTCTTTGTCACTTTCATATCACTTTCGAAACACTCGGGGTTCCTGGTTTTCAGAGCTTTGGTCCACAGTCAGCCAGCCGCAAAGGAGGATGGGCATGGCGGGAGGGCAGGGGCAGCTGCTCACTGGGGGAGCCAGCGGGAGATGTACCAGCCTGGGTCCTGTTCCAGCGACTGCCTCTGTGGACCAGGTCCTACCTCCCAAAAGCACATTCAGCTTGGGCTCCTCAGTACAGTAATCTACGAAGAGTGTGGGGCCCCAATAAGAGAACCCCTGATTCTGAGCGCGGGGGTGTTTCCAGGGATATTCTAGACCTGAACCATAATGGAGTTGTAGTGTGGCTGTGGACAAAGAGCTCTCAACACCAGTCTAACAAGAGGAGTGCGTGTCAGCTCTTCACAGCACGCATCCGCCCTGGAGTCAGGCTCCTGCTGGCAGGTCGGCATCCGCCTGCTCTAACAGTCCTGGAGCCGTTCTGCTCCAGCCTCTGGTCTCAGTGCCTCGGAGTTTCTGCTTTGTTTCTAATCAGGTTGTGCAGTGAGCTCCCTGCCACCTTCCCCTCCACCCCCGCCCTGCAGTGGGGAGAGCCTTGCTTAGTATTTCTGTGTGAGGAGAGCGGATGGACAAGTGACATTTGTCCCTTCCCCATGGCATGCTGACGGAGGTCTGATCACACTTGCATCTACTTGCATCTGAACATGCTCTTTGTCTTTGGTCTCTTTCAGCCAGCTACCTGTCAAGCCCCGCTTGCAAGGGCTGCTTGTCGTGCTCCAAGGACAACGGATGCAGCCGTTGCCAGCAGAAGCTGTTCTTCTTCCTGCGGCGGGAGGGCATGCGCCAGCACGGGGAGTGCCTGCACGCCTGCCCGGCGGGCTACTACGGGCACCGTGCTCCTGACATGAACAGATGTGCACGTGAGCACGTCCTGCTGCGGTGGGGGCGGGCTGGGCTGGGGCCACGCTGGGCTGGGACCACATCGAGGTGGGACGGACGGGGCTGGAGGCAGCCCAAGCCCCCTGGCAAACAGGAGTGGGGGCGGAGTGTCTCACAGGTGCATGCTGTCTGCATTTCCATGTTGATCAGGTGTTTTCACTCAACAAATGCTCTCTTCACAAAAACCAGCCAAGCCCCACATATCGCAAAAAGTCTGCCCCTTTCGGGGACACACCTTTTGGTCAGCCACAGTCACCCCAGTCCTTTCTCATGCAGCTGAGTTTATAATACCTGCTGCGGTCTCACCTGCAGCTAAATACATGCACTTCAGTTTTCTTTAAAGCACCACTGCTGCTAAAACATGACTAGAATTTTTAGTTTGTTTCAAAGTATCTGAGTTCTAAGCTTAACAACAACAACAACAAAATGTCATCAAGGAGCGACTGTCTGTTCCCTGTTCCTCTTCTAACCCAAAAGCATTCAGAGCGGTTACTTTCTGAGGCCTGGAGATTAGCACTGCTGAATCCATGGGTCTTCCGTCCCTCTCTTGGTGTCTCCTGTGAGCACAGGGGTGGGGGTGGAGAGGGCTAGGGGTGCGCTGCTGGGGGCTGACAGGGCGGGACGTGAGGCGAGGTGTGTGGGGGGTGCCGGGCAGCGGGAGGGACCCAGCCACCGTGAGGGCTAGAATCCTGTTCTGTGGCAGGTTCGGGGGTAACAGGCCCCGAAGGCTTTTGAATCCACAGGGCTTAGTAGCCAATTGCGCAGCGGGAAGAGGGAGAACTGAATTTCAGTCTAAGGTTTTCAAGAGGAGTCCATGTGGTGCGGGGGGTTTTGTCAGTTGCAGAGACAGAAAGATGTAGGCCCAGAGGGAATTTTGACTTATGCTCATTTCAGGGAATTGCTTGGAGTACTTGTGGAGGGGTACAACCCCCAAAACAGTGTCAGTGGATTAGTTAGCTTGTATGTGTGTGTGGTACTGGGGATTGAATTCACGACTGCATGCTCACCCGGAAGGTGCTTATGCCACTGAGCTAAATCCCCAGCTAGGTTAGTTAGCTTTCCAGAGATGTGCTTTGCTCTTCAGGTGTCCGATCTGGGCTCCCCAATACCTTGTCCCTCATCTGTAGGAGGGAGGTCCGCTTTGAACAGTTTCCTATTCACACTCTGCAGACCACACGATGAGGTTTGAACTGCCAATCACCAGGCACTTTCCAGTCCTGACTCTCAGTGCCTGGGAGGTGGTTTAGGGGTGTAGGTGGAGGCGGCAGCTGGGTAACATGGCGGGCAGGACTGAGGGTTCCCACCCTGGGCTCTTCCACCCACTGTCTGCTACAATACCCCTGCAGGTGGGCATGGGAGGTCTCCCCAGTGCTAACTCCAGGGCAGAGGCTGGCAGGGACCCACAGGCAGTGCCCTCTGAGCTGATCCTCTTCTCAGAAAGGCACAGTGACTATGAACTGGCTTTGGAAATCGCATATGTGTGGGCATGGCCTCTAAGTGAGGCCCGGCGGACGCCGGAATTTACCGACCTGGAGGAAATCGTTTTTTCCCTTGGCTGAGCAGGAAGTGCTTATTAGCAAGACTCCTGAGATGCAGTAGGTGTGGGGAATTGCTCATTCTTAGTCTAGATGAAGTCACAGAGTTGCTGTAGTATTTTTTCTTTTCATAGATTTGTTACAATCCCTCATACCAGTATCCTATTTAGAGAATGAAGAAAGGCAATCACAGACGTAGAATCTAAAATAATACCCAGTTTTTGTTAAAAGATTACATCTTGAGCCATGGTAGTTCGGAAAACCTTGTAAATGAAACTGGCTTATCTGTGTCCTAATCAATGCAGTGAGGCTCCAGCGAGGGGCAGGTGAGCGGCCCGGGGAGGACGCCCAGCACATACACAGATGGATGCCATGGTGCCGGGGGCCTGACGCTGGGCTGAATAATGGGTCACTCGTCTCTTCTGTCTCTCACTCATCCCCAAACTCATTTACATGAAAGCTTTTTAAAAAAATTGTTATGCACTCTCCTGATAGAAAGCTCAGAAGACAGAATAAACTTTAATGAAAGACAAATGCAAACACACCTCCAAAGCAACACACGTTGGGTTCCATTCTTGACGTTTCCTTTCTGCAGTGTGCATGGCTTTCCCCGCTTAGCATTGTTGTTTTGTCTCTGTGAGTTAGGGACGTGTTTTCACGCCTTCTGCTGCTGTTTTGTGTGCCCCCCTCTGAGGGCAGGCTGTGGCGTACTGGCTGATCACCTGCTGAAACTCCAGCTAGCAGAGGTTCTTTGGGAAACAGCCTTCCAAATGAATGCCTGCTCTTCTTATGCACACACATTTTTACACACTTCTCTGATTAATTTTAGAAGATGAACTTTTAGACATCGAACATACTCCAAACACTTTTGAGAAGTCTCACCAGAGATCTAATCTGTCTCTTCAGCCTCGAGTTTTCCTGTGCAGCAGTGTGAAGACTCATGCTGTGCTTTCATGGGCTTTGCTTTGTTATGAATGCAGCTGAATGCTCATTTCTTGCGTGAGCGTTCACACTGTAGGTTGTTTAGTAGAGGTTCCCTCTCTGTTTTCTATTTTAAAAACTATCTTGTTATTAATTTAACTGAAAACACCTATAGGTGAATGGTGGCACAGACTTCGAAGTTTACTGATGGGGAATTTAGGATCGACCACCAAGGCCGAGGAAGAGGGGCCTTGCCCGCCCGGCCTCCACGCTGCTGCTTTTCTGTCAGCACAGCCGCTGCCCAGCCTTGTCACCCACATGAGGGAGGCACAGCTTGGAAACGCCTGCTGCCTACGGCTAAGACCCTGTGCAAGTCCAGCATCTGACTGGGACCGTCACAGACACGGAGAGCAGGAAAGCACCATAGCTGGGCCTCACGATGTGGTGTTGCATGAGAGAAGCTGCACCGGGCGCACATACATGCCAGGCGAAGCCTCCTGTTGCACTAGGAGGCAGGGCCATAGCTCTCCCCAACATGCGGCAGGACCCCTCCTGCGTGCTGGCTCCAGCCTGGCACCTGGAGATGCAGCAGCCGTCCTTTCTGCCATGGTGGACATCTCAGATGGTGCGATTTTGCCACTTGGGGAACACATGTGGTGTCTGGAGACTTTTTCAGTTACAAGGGGCTGTGGGCATTGCTGAGTATCCCGAAGGGTGCAGGAGAGGGGCCTAGCTGCTGCGTGCGGAGTCACACAGTGGACAGTGTCTCTGGCTCTGAGTGGAGGTGCTCCAGCCTGGTGGGCGACAGGGACCACCCAGAGATGGGTGTGGGCCTGAGCTCTGCTGCTGGTGCAGCTTCTGCTCTGGGTCCCTCTCGGTCTTTTGTGCTTTTGCTCACTGAGATTTTAAACGAGTGTGCAAAGTGGGTTATGTATTTCTGTTTCCGGTGTGGAGACACCTAAACTGGGTAAATCTGCTTTCCAAAATCGGGATGGATCATAGCAGTGAAGGGGCTGACAGTCATGAAGCTCGGGGTGTTCAGGCTGTTAGCAGGCATGAGCCCTGAGGCAGGCAGAGGGGGAAAGTCCAGCAAGCCCGAGCACCACCCACTGCTCCGTAAGACGCAGCTGACTGGGTTTGATTTTAAATGCAACCAGCAGTGAGACTGGCTGGACAGGCAGAGGCAGGGGAGAGACAGATCTTACAGGATGAATCTGGGATGTTGGAAGAGCTCACCGGAAGGCAGTGATGGAGGATAAGAAGGCAGTGCCGGTGTTGGGGCTGTAGGAGTATTTGTAGGAGGGCAAGTGGGAGGAGTCAGGATGAGTTACAGCCAGATCAGCCTCTCCTTCCTCGGGGGACAAAGCGGCCAGGAGGCCTGAGCTGAGCTGACCCCACTCGTGCAGTTCCTCTCTTCCCGCTCTTCTCCTTCTCCTTCCCTTCCTTTCCCTGCCCTTCCCCTTCCTCAGCACTGGTTGGTTCACTAGCAGACTCCGTGTTTTGGTGTTTAGTCTCTGTCTGGCGGCAGTGGGATTTGTCCCCTCTGACCCAGACTTTCTGCTCTGTGAACGAGGGAAGGAAGCCCAGGGAGCAGATAGACAGACGGAGGGAGGAGGGCAGGGCTCGGTGATGGGGGAGTGGGTAGAAGCCAAGGCTGCAGGAGATGCCGCGGGGGCGTGGGGCAGGGACACAGGCCACACGAAGCACAGGCTTCCCGGAGTGGTCGGGCTGGTGCACTCGGGGCTCAGGCAGGAGGCACCCACAGGGATGGCATTCGGGGCCAGACCCTCGGGGAACTGGCAGCAGGAAGATCATGGCAGAGGGCACCGGTAGCTCTGAGGGAGCTGACACCCAAGGCAGTCACGGGGTGGGGGTGGGGGAGATTGAGCCTCTGGGGCAGCGGGACTAGAGGGTGCTGTGCAGCAGACAGTGGCTGTCCTGATCACTGGATCACTCCTGGGCGAGCCGAGGCTGGAGGCAAACCGAGAACCTTCACAGTGGGAAGACGACGCCGAGAGGCCGCCACTGCTGCGCACCCCCAGGCGGACCCTGAGGGGAGCATCGCCTGGAGCCTCAGGTCCTGCGCTGCTCCCCTACACGGCCTCTCCCAGCCTGGCTCCAGTGCCTGGAGGGGCTACGCGTGGCTCTGACGGTGGCCGTCCTGCACTTCCTGGCCCTGGAGGGCCGTGTGCAGGGCATGTGGTGGAGAGGCCATGCCCCTCTCCATGTGGCCTGTGAGTGAAGAGGACGCGTGAGCCAAAGTGGGAAGTAAGCGCTTCGCTGTGGGTGGAGAGTGGAAATCTACGACCACGTGAAGCAGCTTGCTTGTGAAAGCGTCCCACCATTGCATTAAAGCAGCAAAGCAACCTCTCTCCAAAGCGATGGGGATTCGCTCTTCCCTGTGTCCGTCGCTCCTGCAGCCTCCAGGCACTGTGCCGAGTGTTGCACAGGACTGGCAGGCAGCCAGGTGCCCGGCGCTGCCTCAGTGGGCTGGGCGGCACCAACAGCACCAGCTCCCGCGGGCA